TTACGGGTCGCTCCTTTAGTCCCTTGAGGAGACTTTGGAACCTAAGCCCCAAAACCCTTACACCCTGAAGCCCAAAACCCCCAAACCCTCAAACCCTGAAGCCCCAAACCCTACACCCCAAAACCCTAAACCCCGAAACCCTAAACCCTAAAACCCTAACCCCTAAACCCTAAAACCTAAACCCCGAAACCCTCAAACCTAAACCCTAAACCCCGAAACCCTAAAACCTAAACCCCAAAACCTAAACCCTAAACCCACATGAGGAGACTTTGGAAGACTTCCTGAACTTAGAGACTTCTGTGCCTGTGGACTTGAAGTTGACTGTTCCCTGGCCTCAGAGAGAGTACGCTTTAGGGGTTTCAGCACTGGAGTTACTAGGGTTTAGGAGTTTAGGGGTTCAGGGTTTAGGGTTTAGGGTTTAGGAGTTTAGGGTTTGGGGTTACCCTAAACCCTAAACCCTCAACCCTAGACCCTGGGTGTAGGGTTCAGGTTTTGAAGACTCTGGGGGGGTGTTGGAGGGCCAGGTTGGGGTTTTATAGAGATTCGCAGGGCTGTTTCGTTGTGCAGGGCTTGGAAGCGGATTCCCAGGGTTTGGGATCGAAACTTGAGTTGTTGACCTTTGACCGTAAGGGCGGTTTGGGTTTCGGGACTCAAGCTTATCTAGGCTTTTGGGGTTCGTTTAGGGGTGTTGGGTTTGGGGCTTTGGTAGGGTTAGGGTTTATGCTTCAGAGCGTTAGGTCTTGGGTGTTGGGTTTTGGGGTGCTGAGTTCAGAAGCTTGGGCGTCCTGTTGGCCTTGGGTGATTAGTGCAGACAGGGCCCTAAACCCTAAACACTGACAGGGAACTCTAGAAAGTTTGAACAAGGGCTGAGGTTGGGGCATCAGGATCATACTGTTCTCAAACCGCAACACTACACACCGAATCCACAATTTCGTGGTGTCGCCATGTTTCACGTCAAAACATGACATGATCTTCATCACAAGCTTCATCAGAAGTCATCGCACACCTGACCCCAATGTTGCAAAACGGGGCTTCAGAGAGCTACTTAGCTGCAAGCTCTCAGCTGCGGACACCACGGACACACAACCCAAATCTGGAGCTGGATCAGAGCTACATTTCAGGGTTTAGGGTGGTGTGTTTAGGGTTTAGAGGTTTAGAGAGGGCTTTAGCCTTAAGCGCTTGGTGTTTGAGGGTTTATACGGTTTGGGATTTGGGGGTTTAGGGGTTAGAGCTTCAGGGTTTCAGGGTTTACGGGTTTAGGGTCTAGGATTAGGTTCAAGGTTGAGGGTTCAGGAGTTCAGGGGTTTGGTTTTAGGGTTTGGAATTCAATTCACGGGTTTGGGGTTTAAGGGTCAAGGGCTTTGCTTCGGGGTAGCGTTGCGGAAGGGCCTCTTCTCTGCCGATCTCCGGCTCAAGCCAGCATTTGCTACTTTCGCCCAGTGTTGCCTGCGAGTCTACTTGTGCATTTGAAGGATGTCAGCTCGTTTTCTCACCGCCATGGCTATTCTGGGGTGTGCGGCATCTGTTCGCCAGGCGTCTGGGCCAGCGCTCCAGCTCCATGAGAACGTCTCCACGGAGGCCAGTAACGTACACGGAAGCAGCATGTGGAGATGCCTGACTGCTAAGCCCGCTTTGAAAGACTTCATCGTAGTATATTCAAGAAATTCATAGTTAATATATGTGTATCAAACAGATTAATATATAGATAGTTAGCTAGATAGGTAGTCAGGTAGGCAGGCAGACGGATAGATGAACAGATTCATGGAGATATGGCAATTTGTTAGATTGATCGGTTGATTGGTTGATGGATGGATGGATTGATTGATGGACTGTTTGATTGACCAGAGACAGACAGACTGGCAGCAAGCCAGCCAGCAGCCAGCCATGCAGACCGGCAGGCAGCACCCACGGACAGATAGATATGTTTGTGACTACATATACATGTGCAGGTATGTGTGTGTTTCGATGTTCCTTCGAGTTATACTTATCGTGGGATATACACACACGCGCACGCACAGGCGCCACGCAAGCATGCACAAACGAACGCAAGCAAACAAGCACGCACACACACATGGAAAGCTCACCCCCCTGCTGCATGCACGCTCCGATTCTGAGACCCATGATGCACACCCGCGCGCTCTCTCTCGCTCTGTCCCTCGTTTTTGTTTGTCTCTCTCTCTCTCTCTCCCTCTCAGTCTTTCTGTGTGTGAGTTTGGCACCATCGGGGTTCCCAGGACGAACGTTGGTCCCCCTGATGTTGTTGAACTTCTTATTCAGATTCCATCCTTGAATGATTCCCAAATCCAATGACTATACTGTAAGCATGAAACACTGAATTACTACATGTTTGTTCGAGTCTCGAGTTGCTGTATGAGTCTTGCCTTTCACCACTGCCGGGGTTTCAGCATCCGTCCACCGTGCATGCTTGTCCATGTCACCCGAAAATCTTCCATTGCAAACCATTTTCAATGTTTAAACTTTAGGGTTTAGGGTTTAGGGTTTGGGGTTTAGGGTAAACCTATCACACTCTAGACCCATTTTTGGACACCGGTCCCTGTCTTCCAGTTTCTGAGAAGACTCTGCAGGCTAACAAGTTCTTCGACCAGGGTGGCGCGTGCTGCACGTGCGAGCTGGTCGTCATCAAGGGTGGATGGTTCAGCAAGGACAAGCGCTTGGCTTTGAAGATGGCCCTCTTCCCCCCCCCCCCCCTGATTTTGCCTGTTCACGTACAGCCCTAATCGACCGTAGTTATGCAAACCCTCAAACCGAAACCCTAAACCCTACGCCCCAAGCCCTAAACCCTAAACCCTAAACCCTAAACCCACCCCAAGCTCTACGAGGTACGGCAAAGAGTGCAAGGATGAATTGTCGCCCACGAAGGGCTGTGGGCCACACTGTCTATCTCCTGTGACGGGCTTTAAGTGCATCAATCGCGCTCCTTGGATGTCTTTCCGGGTTTAGGGTTTAGGGGTTTTGGGGTCTCTGCGTTTTCGGGTTAAACAAGAGTGATTAAGGCTGGGCCGGTTGTTGTGGGGCGAAACTACTACAACTGCTAGTCCCTGCCAGCCTTCGTGGGAGCTCAGCCTGCGGGTTCCCGAAGAGACGGACAGACTCGAGTTTTCGAAAAGCGCGTTTTGTGATGATCTCGATCGAAGCTGGGATGATTGGGGATCGTGGCAACGATCATGCGACATTGAGTCCCTGAAAGAATCCCCTGATACCTACCTGGACAACAAAAGGATGCCTTCTCCGAGCCAGAACACTCTAAGAGACTTGATTCCCTTTGTTACAGAAATTTTGGAAATTTCGGTCTAGCTAGAAACCGCGATGGGAACCCGAGTTAGAGTGATCCCCATTGGAAGGCCAAACCCGTAAACCATGCACACAAGTTCATCTGGGAAGGCATCTGAGATCCTGACCTGAAGTTTGGTCAGCTGGCTAACCCTAAACCCGAAGCCCTAAACCCTAAACCCTAACCCTAAACCCAACCTTCAACCCAAGACTCTTTTCCCCATGGCTTGCCCACGAGATGCTCAACCCTCAACCTTGAAGCCTGCGTCAACTCGGCATACACCCTGATCTCTAAGCTCCACGGAAAGCTCAAGCAACATAAAGGCCTACGGTTTAGGGTTTAGGGTTTAGGGCCTAGGTTGTTTTTTCATTAGGGTTCCTTACCATGGTTACAGTGTCCTACGCCCGAAGACTTGTTCTAACCAAGGCGCAATTATTACAGAACCCCTTTCTGATTCTGTAATCCTTAAGGAACCCTGTAAGAGGAATCCTAAACCCTATAAACCCTAGAGCATAAATTCTAAACCCTAAGGCAAGACGCACGCGATAGCAGCCCAGAGAGCTTCATAGTTTTTATGATTTAGGGGTTAGGGTTTAGGTTTAGAGTCCGACGGCTGAGGGTTTCTGGAACTGCCTTTTGTTGGTCCCATACCCCGAAAGGAAGATCCTTTCCTTAGACTGCCTTCCCAGGTCACCATCATCACCAGCATACTCACACCCTCATCTTCATCATGCCCCTTTATCTTCAATGTCTTCACGGGTGTCGTCATCACTGCATGGATCATGCTTGCCATGGAAATCCTGCTGGTTCCTCATATGCCATGCTCGGTCACATCCTACCGTGCCATCATCGACCACCACCACCACCATCATCTCTCTCGAATCGCAGCGTC